CAGTCCGTTCGTCGAAGCCAGATTCGTCTGAGAGGGTAAAAACGCTAAATTGTAACTCGGCTGGTCCCTATAATTCTTGTGCTGGCCACATCCGCACTTAAACCGCCACTACGACTCCGAGTGGAAGTCAAATGCAGGGCGCATCCGTCCAACTGCTGTTGAGAAGGGTCTGGAACACCTTTGTCAAGTTACGTAGGAAAAATAATTTTGGTTCAATCGGGTAGGTATGCAACGATGTAAATTTACATCGAACAAATGAAATTCTCACTACCGCGCACTAGTGATAGTCAAGCCCACCTTTTGTTCAATGTATATTTCTCGATCCTACGGATCTCCTTCAATGAGTTCTCTCCCACTGAAGGAACCCCAGCCGGTTAGTAACGAGGCTACGTAGGGCGTCTCCAGGTGGCGGATAGGGGAATTAATCGCCGACCAAACGTCGCCGGTACTTGCCCAGAGACGCAAGTGGATTCAGGGGATGGACTCCTTGATTCTGCTGTGCTGGGTCGATATACCCTCGGTTTCTCGCAGGCGTATCCAGGCATACGTATGTGGAGAGTCTGTGGGTGCAGTTGGTATCCTGCCCATCGACTCGGCCAAAAGCTTGCATTCGAGTGACGCACAGGTCACGCTGGGAAGCATCTGGTAGGATTCCTGGACAATGTGTTCCTGAGTAGTGCACCATTTTCCTTCATATCAGTTCCGCTCTTGGTAGTCTCCCTCCTCCTCTTTAGCGTTTATCTCTCTCAGAGGAGTTCAGCTTCTCTGGTGCACTTAGAAGACCTCCGTGAAGTATTGGTCCTGACACGAGATTGTCGATACCGGAGACGAAATAAATCGATGAAAAATGCTCGCAGAAGCTCGGTGCTGTCAGTTTCGATAGTGCCTAGCTCATTCAACTCCGTGCTCATGAACTCCGCATTTTTGTCATTCAACCGGTGTCTGAACAATGCCAGATGGTAGCACCAAGCTTGTACCTCTTGCTCGACTACATTTTTGCCTTCACACGAGAGCATTGTGCAGTCAGCATAAAGAAATGCCCATGGAGGTTTCTTCTGAAAGTTTCGCGTAATAGCATCCATAACGACAAGCTACCTTCTGTCCCGAAATCGGAATCACATTACTCTGTTACTAACTCTCAGGTGCCTTCATTTCTGCGACTCGCTACACCGTGATTTCCACAAGTTGGCTGCCAAGATCGAAGTTATGACTGGATGCCTTGTCAAACGTCTTGTTCTTCAGAGCTATTTCTGTTTCCTCCACTGTTGCTTCTGCACGGGACGGTGCGCTGGTGGCTCACAAAGTAGAATCAAATGAACAAATTTCACTGTTGGGGTATACTCAAAAGAAGTAGTGTCATCTTCTTACTGCTCTGCGAACGACATAGTACTCTGATGCGCAAAACTTAGGGACGTAAGCAACTTTCGATCACTCTACTTCTACCAAATAGCAGAGCTCGACGAAATTAATACCATACCAAAAGAAGACATTACGGTATTGTACAGGAAGCAACTACAGAAAATAGAAATAAGACGAACAGGTACGATACTTCCGTTCAAAGGTACCGATAACACATAAGTCTTCACAATTGATCCTGGTACTGGAAAAGCGACGTGCTTACTAATAGTGTGTGTGATCACCAGAGACAGCAATACGTGCTCCGCAACATGATCCCATACTTTCCACGAGGTTGGTAATGAGTTTCTGTGATAGAGCATCCCATTCCTCTATCAGCGCAATTGAAAAATGCTGGATGGTGCTGGTGCAATTTGAGGTGCTGCAATACGTCTACCAAGTGCATCCTACGAGTGTTCGATGGGATTTGGGTCGTGGGGACGCACAGGCCACTTCATTCGTCTGGTATCCTTTTGTGTCGAGAGTTTCTTCACCTATGCTGTTCGATGCGGTCGCATGTCATTCACAAAAAAGAATTCAGGGCCCATTGCAGCCTTGAAAAGATGCACATGAGGAAAGAGTACCTCGTCACAGTAACGCTGACTGATAGGACTCTCACGCTCAAAAATCTGGAGGTCAGTCGGCTACGCAGCATGATGCCTTCCCATACCGTAACACCCCGGACGCTAGAGCGATTACGTTGACAATGTTTCTGGGAGCGTTGCGTGTTTTCAATTATCGTACTAGAGGGCGTTCAGAATCACTACTCAGACTAACCCCCTTAACGGTCTCACCGATGCGCGAGGGTCAAAGAAATATAACGTAGCGGTCGCCAGGCAACAAACAGATCGTCGCACCACTGTAGTGCGCGAGTAAGCTTGCTTTTAAGTCCTGTCGAACGTACTGCTATCACAGAGGCTGATTCACGTGGCTCCATACTTGCCTACTGCACAATTTCGCCATCACCCCCTGGTGTAAATAGTTGGTCGGCCACCTCCTCTCCTTCTGGCAGCAGTAT